CATGTAGCTTCGATGTTTCCTGTTTAGTTTTTGTGTCATGACGATTGCACATAGTGCTATATGATCTGTTTCTGAAACTTGAAGTATGTAGTTGGTATACACCCAACAACTATCTCATCGAAAAAAGATCGATCGCGGGCCATATGCAGAAAACAATCGTTGAAAAAAAACTATATGCTAAAAAAAAAACTAATCAACTGGGCATGGGATCTTGCCAACGCGTCAAGTGATAATCCAATCACAGACGTGAATTCACGTAGCAGGCGATGAACTCCCGATGAACTCAACTTGGTTTTTTGATGTGTAGCTTTCTAACCGTATTTTTCACGAAACATCGTCTCAAATATATATTATCTTTACTATTTCTACGCATCAGTAGTAGCATTTATGTCGCCAGTCAGTAATGTTACAATTTCGCTGTTGTGACCGAGAGTGAAGAGTTTGCTTATTGTTTACCGTAGCGAACGCACCAGCGCCATGTAGAGCATGCGTGCATATATTACCGGTCATCGCCGAGGCATCGTAGTTCAACAGTACGAGGATGGCAAATATATATGATACGTAACAGGATACGTATTAGCTCCGTTATAAGTTCTGTCGTTATGGAGTGTCTCGTAGCTCTGATCAATATGTTATTTAAGCATCCCTGACTGGACCGCTATACACATTGACGCTTCTGGCGATTAGTGTTAGCTTGTAAATTAATAAACTACGAGGATTTCTGCAACATATACAAGTGATTAGTAACACCTGAAATAAACAACTACCCCGGGAACTGAATTGACTCAATTTTTCGCGACAATCGTAGATTAGACCATGGAACAACGGGACAACAAAAATAAAATCACGTCCAGGTTTTTATATTTGTGATGATTCAGATTCAGATGATTCACAACGTTTTTTCCTCAAATAATTCACCAAATGAAACGTCCTCACATGCTGTGTCAAGTCTCTCTGCTTCATGTTTGGTACAATGTAACAACAGAGTTGCGTGAATCCACATCTATGTCGGCATACCTTTGATGGTTCACACGAACGTTTCAAAACTGTTTTCTATTTTCCACTGTGGCAACGCTCAACAATATAAATCAGCCTTTTGTTTTATATGTTACTGTGAACTCTCAGTCGACTGTTTTTGTGGCATTGCGAACTCTCAATCGTCAGTTTTTTTGCCATTGCGAACTCTCAATCGTCAGTTTTTTTGCCATTGCGAACTCTCAATCGTCAGTTTTTTTGCCATTGCGGACTCTCAATCGTCAGTTTTTTTGCCATTGCGAACTCGCAATCGCCTGTTTTTTCGCCATTGCGAATTCGCAGCGACGCTCGCAATGGCTGTTTTACCATACATTTACATACCTGCTGAAAAGGGTAATTGCATTTAACCTCAGCGATTAATACCAAGACGCAATTCTGGATATAATGAAAAAGCTGTCTCCAATATTATTACATGTTTGTAATTGGTTTCTAACTTTTTAGTCATTTTTTAATCTTCCTGATTGATAGCAGTTTGCAACATTGTAGACAAAACTTTGATTTGGTGTGGCAAGAATAGACCCATTGACACAAGCACATGGATACAGTTTACATGCTGCCCTCAATATTACAAAGTGATATGGGGAAAAGGTCACAGATTGTTATTGATATGTAATTTAGTGGGTTTTCAGCGTGAATATTATTTGTCTACAGGCGAAGCACCACAAAAACTGGATTTACCTTGTTGGGCCATTCTAAGTTGTTGTTGTTGTTGCTGCTGCTGCTGTTGTTGTTGTTGTTGTTGTTGTTGCTGGAACTGTTGTTGTTGCATCTGATGCTGTGCCAATTGCTGTAGATGTTGAGTGGAACCAGGTACCGATGAAGGAGGCATAGATGCCTGCTGCATTTGGGGTCTAGTCTGTTGTTGGGCCATAGCAGTCAGTCCCTGCAGAGCACTCATGGGATCTGAGAAAAAGTATACATTATTAAAGATAACTTACTTACTTAATTGATTATCTTCAGAAACAAAAATTTGTTATTAGTAAAACAACACTCGGTCAAGGCAGGTCTGAGATATGGCTCCATAACAGCATTTGTTAACACATACACGGTTGATGCCATTATTTACTGTGAAATACTTTATTTTAGTTGGAATTAATTTTCGCTGAAAAAGCATTTTGGGTGCTTTTTTGTATGGAATTTATTTTCACTGATTTTTGATGAGTTGAATGTAAAAATATGGGAATAATGATATATTCACTGGATTTTATATTCACTGAATCATTTCTTCAGCGAAATTAGCAAAAATTACTTTTAAGGGGAAAAAAGTATTCTATAGTACTCTTCATATTGGCTATCAGTGGAGGTTATCAGCAGGCAATGTGTTAATTCAAAATGCCTGTCAGTTAGCCATTTTGAAATCAATTTGGAAAACAAAATGATGTGCATCAAGCACATATTAATATTAATCCTATTAATGTGTGCACTAAATACGGTCAAATTGTGACAGAGAACTGGAATTGGAATGGAAGAAATGCTTGTATGCAAGTTTCAGCACAAAAGTAGCCATCTTGAATTGAATAGTGAAAACAAACAGGTGTGCACATGTAGGACATAATGTATAAGCATGTCAGAGACGAGGCTCTTGAGCCATCACATTCATTAAAACAAAATGAGCGCCAGTTGGCTATTGTAAATTCTGATCTGAAAAGAAAACTGACGCGCATCAAGATCCAATAATGTTCAATGTATGAACTAAGTTTGAACTGATGGTAACAAAATTCAAATGGTTTTTAAGAAGTTGAGAATGGGAGAGAAGGGGTCAATCATTAGGTTTTACAATACAATATAAATAAATGGTAATAATCAATTCAATCACATTGAAAAACAAGAATACCTATGGAGAATTTGTATTGATTTTGGAACAATGAGCAAAATAAAAATAATTTTTTCTATTATTTTATTAAATAAATGCAACAATGTATTATTTCTAAGGGAGAAGCGATGAAAAAATCATGTACGGGGAAACGTAGCCGGGGAAAAAAAAAATTGCATGACTGGAGATATTGATCAAGCATGACCTATAAACAGACAAATAATCTACACAAGTAGTCTGTGACTTTTAGAAATCTGAGCATGCA